ATTTATTATTGGTCATTTATTTCTAGATTATTTAATAAGCATCAATAACAATAATAATTTGTATGGAACAATAATATTGTTTTTTGGATGTTGTTAATGACAAATAACGATTTTGATAAATAAGAATCTAATTTTTTGCATATGTTTGAAAAAAAATACGTCAGATAATTAAGTATATTATATTCTAAAAACACCTTGAAAATTTAATGTGTATTTTTACACATATAGTATCTAGTTACTATACACGAACATTTATCAGAATTCGACGATTAGCTGGAACAATTTATTTATTAATATAAATTTATATTTTTTAACGAATGACATTTAACATATGCATAAGCATATATATAAATATATATATGTATGCAATGCATCTCTTATGAATGAGTCTATTTTTAGAGATGAAGACACATGTGATGACGAATGTAAAAGGCTGTCTCATTTAATCGTCGATTGAATTACACTGATTACATATTTTCTCACGCTTAAATATCATTAGTTATCCAATTATTTTAATCTTATTGATCCACATGCACATCAAAAATAAGGAAATAAAATTATAAAAACTTATAATATCTTATGTACAATAAAAGAAAAAATAATTATAAATATTATATAGTATATATATATGTATATAAAAATAAAAATATATGTATATAAAATTATAAGCTCAATTATAATTATTCTAATTAGGAAATTGTTATCAATATATGCAATATGAGATAAGTAAATATATTCTAAGGTCGCGAAAAGCCGGTATCCATGAAAAGATAAAAAGAGAAATTCCAGAAATATTTCTTTAGGGATCTCAGAATTAAAAAAAATTTTTTAATTAAAAAATTTAAAAACAAAAAATCAGTAGGTGCACGCTTTGTTTTTATATGCACTTTTTCATGAAAAAGCATTTCTCATCCCAGGAAGCAAACTAACGTAATTAAACGTCAAAATGACGTCATTTTGACGTCAGCTTGCTACCCGGGATACAGCACCGAAAGATTGCAGAAACATTGCAATATTGCATATTGATTGCGAAATATTGCTGCAAGATTGCTGCAACTAGATGGCCGCTTTTTGTAATATTGCAATAAAACATTACAGTAACATTGTAATGTAATTTTTATAATAATAAATAGTAAAAAGTTGTAGACTTAATAATTTACTTCATAAATTAAAAATTTTGTTTTTAAAATAAGTATGTAAAGTGCAATGAACAGATTTTCATTCATTCAAATTCATCAAATATATTTATCTGTCTAATTTCTGAGGAATCAGTTCAGTATGTACTTTAATATCTGAATTCCCTATGTATTGGGATCAAGTCCAAAATATTAAACTGATGTAAAGATATAGGCATGATACTTTTAGTCTTAGAGCTAGTTAATTTCACCAATCTTTATGTAATTCTACCTAAAATTTAAGTACGGGATAGATCGAAGATCGCGCGCCGCATAGCGGTAGATAAAGGAACTAGCGATTATTAAATATTTTTTCAATCTTTCTGAAATGTTGCAACATTTTCATGAAATATTACATTTGCATGTTTTTACGATGTTACATTGTAACTTGCAAGATTGGAAAATTGCTGCAATGTAATTGCAATGATCTGTGCTGTAATATTATTCCATTCAACGAATAAAAAGAAAAGGAAAAATGCGCAAAACTGATATTTTATCAATAAAACGGGACGGCGTTCAAGATCGCCTTAAACGTCCGCGAAAAAAATGGGCGAAGGAAGGGAGAAACTCCGCGAAATTCCGTTCGCGAGCGCGACGACGGGAGCGTTCGCGTCAGAGCGCAGAATCCGGATTCTCCTCGTCGTCGGAACCTTTGGGCGGAGTTCCGGCGGCGAGATGTAAACGCGCGCCGCCCAGACGTGTAACGCCCCTGGATGTGTTCCCGGGGTACCAAAGTGCCGGCGTCTTTCGTTCGGCGCATCTCCTTTATACGAGAGACGCGAGAGTCTCTCTCTCTCTCTCCTTCAAAGGGAGCGTCGCGCTTGACTAATTTCCGAGCGGCCTTCCGCCGCGCCGCGCCGCGCGAATCGTGACAGCTGATTTTGACAGCTGAGTTTGACAACTCTCTCTCTCCGCGCGCCCGAGTTTACGCAACATTTCGCCGGCGTGATTTATTCCACGCTTCTCAGTAATATATGCGATTATTATATGTTATACATATATATTTACGTACCTCTTTTACGGTATATTGAATTGCTCCCTCTATGAAATGTATTAGATATTTATAGGAAATTCATGCGAAAACGCACGTATTTATTGACGTTATTTATTCAAATGCGTACGGTAAATTGATCGCTCTAATTATGTTTTTAAGTTTAATTACATTTTGGTAAAATGTACGCGCAACATTATGAAAAGCTATAAATATTTTTCAGATATGATAATTTCCAACGCATAAATCGGGTTTCTCTTCATAAATTTATGGTATTAAATAATGTATAATGGTGTGTAAATTGTTCCATGTCAAAAAAAATTATTTGATTTGTTTATATAATTAGGAAATAGGAACCATCATAAAATTTCTGAAACTTTTAACGATAAAACACTGGAGAAAAAACGAAGAAAACTTTAAAATATGCAATATTTTTCAACATCATATTCATCCTTTAATCAATTTTTTTAAATATTTATGTGATTTTTTTATTATTCAACAATAACGAAGAAACTATATATTACTAATTAAAAATTTAATCTGCTTTCTAGATTCGATAAATTTGCAGCGAAATTCCTCGAGTAATGTTGGACGATATTATCTTTTTTCGATAACGCACTGATTTCTTTAAAAGGCGCGGCATCGATTCAAAGGCGTAGCGAAAAAAAGTGTCTAATATTTTAATTTTATTTTTAAATTTTAAGCAAAAAATAATTAGTCTATAATAATTTTTCTTAGCACGTTCTTTTAATTTTCCAAATTTGTTACGTGTTGTTCCTCTCTTTTTATTCATCTTTTATCGTTAGTTATGTGTAAAAAATATTATGTAGTATAAAATATATTAATTTAAAAAAATCTTATATACCTACATGATATTCATGATAAATATCCTACATCTTTGCTTACATTACGTAAGCTTGATCCGCGAAATCGACTATCGAAACCACGTCATATGTGAAATATGCGTCATGATTTATGCGGCAACAAAATCGAGATCGACATATCGATTATTTTTGTCGGCACGTAGATGTTATTAATCGCTATTTCGTGACTAATCTGTAACTAACGAGCGATCGTGTTACGATTTTATTGAAGATAAGATCGATCTCGCGCATTCAATCACGTTTCTAATTTCGTCATTCGCGGATATCAAATATAACGAGAAATAAAAATTAATTTTTCTACTTTCACGCGCGGCGCTCGAGATAACAAATTAATTATCATTTAATGTTATCGTTAGCTGTCGGATCCTTTGAAGAGTCAAAAAATTTCGCAATTTTCAATTTTAATTTTCTCCTACGTATGTAGATTCTAGAGATAATTTCCAATTCCTTTATTTACTATCTAAAATAAAGAGATTATCTCTTTAAATAATCTCTTTATTGAAAGTGGCGAAATTTCGACTCTTCAGAGATAATTTGCAGTAGACTCTAGAGATAAAATTTCTTTATTTATTATTTGAAATAAAGAGATTATTTAAAGAGATAAAATTCCTTTATTTTTAATAATAAATAAAGAATTGGAAATTATCACTAAAATCTACAAATATAAGAAAATTAAAGTTAAAAATAGTGAAATTTCAACTCTCCCGAAATAATTTCCAGTAGATTCTAAAAATAATTTCTAATTTATTTATTATTTAAAATTAAATCAATCATCTCTTTTCTTTATTAAATAATAAATAAAGAGATTAATCTGTCGGTTTAAAATGTTCGAAGTAGAGATGTTGGATTAAAAATAGAAAGTCATAAGTAGAGAGAAATAAATTTGGACTCGGAAAATCCTGTCGTGTGAAAATATAATTTTAATGTGTAAAACGTGTTAAAAAATTTAGGACTTTGCGTGCTACACTTCATCTGAAAAACTATACGACACCGAAATTGTATTGCATTGCGTACAAATCCAGAAATGCGTAAAAATAAGACTTTTGAAAAATAAACTTTCTTTCTCTGCACAGTAGGAAAATTTGAGTTTTCTTAAAAACGGTCTTCGTTAAAATTTTTGTGTTAAATATTTAACACATTTATGTGTTAATTTAACACAATGTGCATCTATTTTTAATTTTAGATAATAAATATGTTCTGTTTTATTAGTGACAAGATTTATCTGTTAAAATTTACAGCAAAAAATGTTGATTTTCCATTTTATGATATATAAGTGGGAATAAAATAAAATTTAAATGTGGCATACATTTTTAGTTAATTTTTACATTAAAAAACTATGTTAATTTTACACAAAATTTATTTTAAATTATTTAAAGTTTTGCATTTATTTTGTGTTAAAGTATTAACATAGTATTTGTGTCTCCATTTAACATATCCGTATTATGTTAAGGGGATACTGATCAAGACTGTTTCATCGAGTTTGAGTTCAAGGGCTTTTCTTTTATTGACAATACAGATTGAAAAATTCTTCTTCACAATTACAGTACTGATAATAATGAACGGAAAGCGCTGTAATTTCGTAGGTATAAAAAACAATAAAAGTAAAAAAATTACAGTTTTTTATCGGCCTCTTGCATCAGCTCATAACAATACTTATTTAATACAAAAGTTCTGCAATTTATTTGTGCACAAAATATGGCGCTCTCAATAGAGATGACATGAAAGAATTAGTTCCATTCATTGTTATCAGTACATACTTTCATTGTGGAATATTTTTTAATCTATATATTCAATAAAAAGTGAACTTAACCTAACTTAAAGTCGGTAAAACAGAACAACGGCAGTATCCCCTTAAGTTAACACAAAAATTTTGGTGGACCGTTTGTGATATCTGCTAAATTTGACAGAAATTTTTCAACTGTGTGACAGACACGATTGTTTGCGTTTCAGAAAGCAGGAGTTCGCACTGCGTCGGCTGCGGCGGTCGAATTCACGATCAGTGGATCCTGAGGGTGGCGCCTAATCTAGAATGGCACGCGGCGTGTTTGAAATGTGCCGAGTGTCAACAGTTTCTGGATGAAAAGTGCACTTGTTTTGTGCGAGACGGCAAGACCTACTGCAAGCGCGATTACGTTAGGTGAGTCACGTTTTTCTTTCTAACAATATAAGAAAGAGCGCTTCCACACAAGGAGAAATTCGAGACGCGAAGAAAGGGATCTTAAAAAAGAATTATATAGACATTATTCGAGTTCTGAATTGTTTTGTCGTATTCCAAAGATCATCCAAGAAACTGTAAGAAACAACTAGTCTCGTTCTGGTTAATTTTTTTTTTTGTTAAACATTCCCAAGTAGCAAACTGACATCATTAAACGTCAAAATGATGTCTAATGACGTCATTAAACGTCAAAATGTATTTCAGATTAATTAGTAACCTCAGATAACAAGTGCATGTCATTTTGACGTTTAATGACGTCATTAAACGTCAAAATAACGTATACCTGTTACCTGGAGTATAATTAATCTGAAAAAAATATTATTCCTTTTACTTGAAAATAAGTATAAAGTTGATTAAAAATATTAAATATGACTAAAAATTCTCAATATTTCTCGATAAATAATTTTTTTCGAAGACCGTCTTCGGCCATACTTTTTCAAAAAATCGAAACCGCGCCCAATGACGTATAAGAAACGTCAAAGAGTAAGTATCGTCCAAGGGTTAAGCATCGCCTCCTTAACGAACGGATTCCTCGAAAGAGGACCGCGTGGCGAACGAGAGGAGCGAAAGCACTCGAGAAAGAGAAAGAAGGCTCGGCACGATCGCGCAGTGCAATATGGTAATTAATGCAAAACCGTGCCTCTTGTCAGCGCGGCCGCTACATTCCCGGCGAGACACGCGATACGCTCTTTCCGATACGCATTTGCGAACGCGCATCGAGGGATCGAGGAAGAAAAAAAAGGGAAAGAGAGGAAAAAAAGGGCCGGGTGGCAGATTGGACGGCGACCGGGAAAGAAGCCCGTGGTGTATTTTTATCCGAAGTGTGAGAAATATATATATATATATACACATATATGTATACATATATATACACATATACACGCACTACCGACGTACGCGAATGTCACTGTCACGTTGCGTTGCGTGCGTTGGCGCGTTAAAAAAAAGGCGCGAAAAACTCGGTTTAAGCTCGCGAGCGATTCGTGACAAGCATTTGATCGACGTCTCTCCGTGTCTCGGCCGCTGACGTTATTTATTGACATTCTCGGCGAACGGTTGAGCCATTCGCGCCGATAATTGCGTCGATGTGGAAAGAGAGAGAGAGAGAGAGAGAGAGAGAGAGAGAGAGAAAAAGCGAAAACCTCGGATCGGCGAAAATAACCTTAATATAACGAGTTTACAATCGAATCAATTATCTAGATCGATTTTATAACTCTTACATTATTCGATCGCTATTCAATCTTCTCTGCTATATTTGTATGAAGACTCGAAAGAGGGGATCTGTTATTAAAATAATTTTGAGTGTGGTAAGGAGGATCCAAAAAATTTGTTTAAAAAATGTATGAAGACTCGAGAGGGAGGATCTGCTATTGAAATAATTTTGAGTTGTGAGATAAGAAGATAAAAAATTATATATATTTTAAAACATGTTGTATGAAAACTCGAGACAGGGATCTGTTATTAAAATAATTGTGAGTTGTGGTAAGGAGGTAAAAAAATTTATTTGTTTAAAAAATGTTGTATGAAGACTCGAGAAAGAGAAACTGTTATTAAAATAATTTTGAGTTGTGATAAGGAGATAAAAAAATTAATTTGTTTAAAAAATGTCGTATGAAGACTCGAGAAAGGGGATTTGTTATTAAAATAATTGTGATTTGTGGTAAGGAATAAAAAATAATTTGATAAAAAAAATAATTTGTTTAAAAAATGTATAAAGACTCAAAAGGGGAGATCTGTTGTTAAAATAATTTTAAGTTGTGATAAGGAGATAAAAAATGTAATTTGTTTAAAAAATATTATATAGAGTATTGATTATTGAGCAACTTCATTAATCGTTAATTGAGACTTCTTGTTTTATATCGTAGCTATCAGGATATAAATGAAATAAGTTAAAAATGACTCAAATTGATTCGATTTCTCAATAAAGTAAACATTGATTAAATCGACAATTAATTCGAAAACATTAAACGTGCACAGGCAGTTAGAAAGAATATATATTGCAACATTCAATCTCTGAATTGCAATCACAATGTTGGAAATAATTTATCAAGAAATAATAAAAATATTTTTAATGTTTCATAATAAATAATTTCCAGTAATGTAATTGTAATTCAAAAAGTAAATATTGCTAAATTTAAAAATAACATTTAACATTAAAAATATTTTTAAAAAATTTTTTAATTAAAAAAACAAAATTTTTAATAATTCTGAAATAAATATATTATTTTTTTTTTTTAAGATATGTTTACGATATTTTCCAAAAGTCCGACAAAACAATTCAGAACTCGAATAATGGCTATATAATTCTTTCGAAAATCCATGCCTTTAATTAAATGCAACTTACACATTCATAAGTTCATTAAAGCTAATGTATCCATGTGGTTATTATGTCACTTTTATATGTGTTTGGTGGAAGCACCAAAAATAAAAAGACGCGTTCTCTCTCTTTTTCTTTCTCGCGCGTGCGGAGGTTTTTTCTTTTTCGTTGACGTTAATGCCGCCGAATAACCCATCGGCACGAATCCGAGAGACCTGGACTAAATATTTTTCTCCGCCGAGGCAGCGGGTTTATTTGCGCCGAACCCCGTCGAACGTCGGGACATACTCGAAGAAGAAGAAGACTGGCATATCCGGCCGCGCATTCGAGCGACAGCGATGACGGCCGTTTGTTATTTCACTGTCGCGCTTTCGTTCAAAAGTCCAAATTACCAAAGTAACTTCCTCCCCGTTGGGTGTTCTTGACTCGCGCGCGCGTGTCGAAAGTGTGTCGCCATTTTTTTACAAACTATATAATACACACTGTAAAAAATGTGTAAAGTATTACATAAAAATATAATATGTAAAATTTACATATTTTTACAAATTTTTTACAGTAAATTACATAAATAATAAATGTTTTATTTATGCATTATTTATCGTGCAATTTTACACTTATTTATGTAAAATATGTAAAAATATTACATATGTAAAAATAATACATGTTTGATGATTTTGATGATATTTGAATAAATGCAAAATTACAGGATAAATAATAAAAATGTACATTTTCACATGTAATTTTATTATTTATGTATTTTATGTAATTTACTGTAAAAAATATGTAATATTACATAAAAATATGTAAAATTATATAAATAATAAGTGTAAAATTACATGATAAATAATAAAAATGTACATTTCCATTATTTATCATGTAATTTTACACTTATTATTTATATAAGTTACTGTGAAAATGAATATGTAAAATTATATAAATAATAAGTGTAAAATTACATGATAAATAATAAAAATGTACATTTCCATTATTTATCATGTAATTTTACACTTATTATTTATATAAGTTACTGTGAAAATGAATATGTAAAAGTATTACATAAAATATGTAAAATTACATAAATAATAAGTGTAAAATTACACGATAAATAATGAAAACGTATACATTTATTTTATTTATATAATTTTACATATTTTTGTATAATACTTTACATATTTTACAGTGTGTATATATATATATATATATATATATATATATATATATATGTATATAGTAATTTTATGCGCAATCGAATATTAAAAGCATTTATTGTAAGGCAATTAGTTTCTGAATTACGGAGTCGCAGAGAACAAAGTCTTTTCTCTCGCGAATGTTCTCATATTTTTTATAATTATTTATGTTTACGTTGAGTACGATTCTTTCTAAATTATTCTATTACGTCACAACTGTGAGAGAGCTGTAACAAAAGGCTATTTGAATACAAGGTCTTATTTTTATTTACATAGTCAAATATCTCTGAAATTATAGCTGTGTAAGGAAAATTAACATAAATTGTTTTAAGAAAAAATATGTAGCTGATAGTTGCAAATTATACATATTCTGTTTTAAAACAACTATGTGTTTTTTATATTAATTAATTCTTCTCATATTGTGCACAAAAGTCTTGAAATAAGATTATTGAAAAATGAACATTTTACGAGATATATTTTATAGTTTATGTAAAATTATGTTAAATTAAAGTACGATATACTTGTCTCATAAATTATTCACTTTTTGATTCGTTACAACTTTTTATGCAAAATATTCAATTTACATAAAAAAATTGGAGTAGTTCATTAAAAAAATTAGATTGACCTTTAAATAACTTCAAAAATGACCATAATTAAAATTCAAGATTATCAATCTGTTTCCTCCTCTTTTAATTATGAATCATTTCCTCGTTACAGCTTCAGAAATATTCGATTATATATATTAATTAAAATAGACATCCTGTATTTTTACATTTTTCTTTCGTGTTATATTTTTCAGAAAACCGTGTTATCAAAAATTAACACTATAGAACTGAATCTTTTGCGAGATTTTATTAAAGAATCTTAAATTAATACGACGTTTTACGTTAAAAATACCAGATATAATATGGAAATCTGTTGTCTATTGCGTAAATTTCAACATTAATTCTTCCGTTAGAGGCATCAAAAAAGAGTTTTGCTTCGATTACATTCGTTACACTCGTTACATATACGTATGCGAATGAATCTCGGAATAGATCTCGCGATGGAAAAAGTTTTGATTATTTGACTTTGAAAAGTAAGCGATAACAAATAACAATAGAAATTATATAATAGCAGCGTAATATTTTTCAATTTCAACGATGTATATTGAATATTTTATTATATCTCACACATATAGTCAATTTTTTATTTTATTTGATAAATAAAGTCAATAATAAACTTATATATAAATAATTATATATAAATTTAATAAATAAACTTCTAAATATAAATATTTTTTGTATAATATAAGTTTATGTATTGAAATTATTTTAAAAAGATATAAAAACCAACTCCGCGCGTGCGCGCACATACGATATTTATTGCATGCAGAAATAAATATACGACGCGACAATAAAAGGCACTTTGGTCTCGATTTATGTCTCTCTATTTTGCATCTATCGGATTTAGAACGTAACTTTTTTTTTATTTCGCCGACTAAAAATATTTACAGCCTCGCGATATAACAGGATAGAAGATGAATATACGAAATAACGTAAACGATGGAAGGATTAACATCGAGGTTCGCTGAATATTTTTAATCGTCGTATCAATATAAATTTTATATAAAAAAATTTCTCGCAAAATAATTCGCGATTTCTCGCGAGCGAAAAAAAATGCCCCACTATTTATTCTTTCGATTGCAGGTTATTCGGCACGAAATGCGACAAGTGTAGCCAGTGCTTTAGCAAAAATGACTACGTGATGAGAGCGAAGACCAAGATCTATCACGTGGAGTGCTTTCGATGCTGCGCCTGCATGAGGCGACTCGAGACCGGGGACGAGTTCGCCCTGAGACAGGATGGTCTCTTCTGTCGACACGATCACGACGTCCTCGAAGGCGGGAAACACTGCACCGGAGCCGCCGGTATACCCGGAAACGAGAACAACAATAACGCCTCCCTCACGAACAACAATCATCATCTGCACCCGAACGACGGTTCGATGTCAGGTGAGGAAATCAATACGTCTTATTTATCGTGTAATTTTACACTTATTTATGTAAAATATGCAAAAATATTACATATGTAAAAATGTTACACATGTAAAAATATTACACATGTAAAAATATTACACATGTAAAAATATTACATATGTAAAAATATTATATATGTAAAAATATTACATATTTGATGATTTTGATGATATTTGAATAAATGCAAAATTACACAATAAATAATGAAAATATACATTTTCGTGTAATTTTATACTTATTGTTTATGTAATTTACAGTAAAAAAAATATGTAAAGGTATTACATAAAAATATGTAAAATTATATAAATAATAAGTGTAAAATTACATGATAAATAATAAAAATGTACATTTCCATTATTTATCGTATAATTTTACACTTATTATTTATGTAAATTACTGTAAATAAAAATATGTAAAAGTATTATATAAAATGTATGTTTTCGCTTCACAGTAGAAAAATTTCTATTTTTTTGTTAAAAATGGTCCCGTTTTTAAATTTTTGTGTTAAATATTTAAAGGGATCCTAAACGTATTTGAGAAGTATTTAAAGGGATCCTAAACGTCTTTATTGGTTTTTTCTTTCTTATTTTTATTGAACTGCGCTTTAATTGAAGATGACCAGGTTCAGACTCAATAAAATTGTATTATCACGGATAAAGTACAGCCTCCGATGTTAGATACATACATCTGTGGATAATCAGAGGCATAGTACTATATCCCTGTACAAAGACCAAATTTGCAAAAGGGTGCACGCTCGAGGGTATTAAGCTCAAAGGACTCTCCTAACAGCGATGTTGTGTTAGGATCACGAGAAGTATAATTAGGTGTTGATAATTGAAGCCCTTAAGACCGGTAAGGGCTTGACCACTACCCTCGCGCTACGCGCATCGGGATTACGCGGGCTTAATGTCCTGTAGCTCTGTAATACGTGTACGATCCACCCGTAATATTGCCGTCGCGTAAATTAACTCGACTGGACACACACAGAGAGAGAGAGAGAGTCGAAATTCAGATTCTAAATCTAAATAACGCGTAAAATATGACGCAAAATTTAATTTCGGCGGCAAATATAAATAAAGGAAATCTTCGAAATTTACTCGGAATAAGAAAATTTTTAATCTACAATATTATGCTTTAAAGAATTATATTTTGGAAATATAATTGCATGTTGAGAGATTAAAATAGATAATGACAATTTAAAAGAGGAGTGTTATGAGATGATTTAAGGATATCTCAATAATAACGCGTTTTATATATATATATATATATATAATTTAAAAAATTTTTTTATAAACTCTCTCAATTGAGAACTGAAATTAATATTTCAGTTTTTATTTTATATACGCATATACAAAAGAGAGTAGAAATTATGTAAATATATAAGTATTTATATTTTTCTCTCGCATTTATTTCTTTAATAGGAGATTACATGGAATTAAAAATCTCTTTTAGAGATTATTCCAATTTCAATATATCTTGGCCGTGTACAAGCAAAATTTGGTGCCTTGTGCACAGGTATTTAATTCTAACGAAAAAATTTAGTTTCGTTTAGAATAACGCAATCCGCGATTTGGCTCTTATTGCCTATCTTATATATGTTAAATTTATATTAATATTTCAGTTTTATTTTATATACGCATATACAAAAAAGAGTAAAAATCATATAAATATATAAAAATATTTGAAAATTAGTATTTTTGAAACTTTAACTTTGTTAAATTATAAGATATGCTAAAACATTATAAAACGTTTCTGAATTTTATAGATAGAAATTGACTCTTTCGAAGATTTCCTGAAATGAGAAAATTGAAATAAACAATATTATGAATTATGCTTTGCAAGCATAATTGTGTATGGATATGTTAAAATCTTAGATAATGACAATTTATAAAAAAAAAAAACTATAAAATAGTTTAGAAGAAAAATGATAATCCTTAACAGTTAAATAATATGAAAATCTCTCCTCCAATTTTAAAGTCGACCAGACTGGCAATAATTTATTTAAAAAATTTTTAGTTAAATTACAACGTTTCGGCTGTCATTGCAGCCCTTTTCAAGTAATCTATGAACAATTATATACATATAAATATACTCTTAATGCGCTTAATCATACAAATAATTATAAATTTACAAAAATATATATGTTTACGTACCAGATTAATACAATAAATCAAATTTACAGCAAACCCCCGACAAAATAACCATTGTTTTGTTGAACAATGTGTAACAGACAGAAGTGAGCACGAAAAATAATGTTGAATGTTAGCAGAAAACTTAGTCACTAACGCGTTGAGAAAATAGAACCAGAGTACTGTGTCTTTCGCTTTTTTAAAAAGTCAATACAAAGTCAAATAAATAAATAAATAAATAAATAAATATGTAACATATGACAATATAATATATTAAATAGCTTCAAGAACGCGATCATAAATCCCACTGAAATTCTCCGTATCTTTTTGTAAATTAATGCTCTTTCTTTGGTTTTTATATAGAACATTTCTGCTATTCTCTTTTTCTGGTTTGTTTTTCTTGATGCAGAATCACAGGAGAATCCCAACGGAACTCATGATCGTTGCAAGTCCGATGCAAACTAACAACTGAGTGTGATGTCGTGTCTTTTTTGATGTTATTTTTATGTTCCTTAATACGTGTTTCTAAATGTCGCTTTGTTTGTCCAATATATGTAGAGTCACAGTTCGCGCATTCGATCTTATAAACGACATCGGTTCTTTTTAAGTTGTCAATACTATCTTTTCCTCTTTTTATCAATGTGTCTAATTTTTTAGGAACGGTATATAATACACCGATTCCATTTTGTTTATGCAACGAGTAATATTTTCGCTCAAACTCTAATATACGGCAACGCTATAGCATTTCGTGTATCAAATTTATCTCGATTAGACGCACCAAAATTACCGCCAAATTTAATCGCCCTAAGTCTCCTGTTAATAATTTTGTTTATGACTGTTGACGGGTAACAATTGTTACGAAGAATTCGTTTGACTAAGATGATGTTTTTCTCGTGAAACATAGGGTCCGCGAGTAAAATAGCCCTGTCCACGAGGCTTGTGATCACATTATTTGTATGATTAAGCGCATTAAGAGTATATTTATATGTATATAATTGTTCATGATTACTTGAAAAGGGCTGCAATGACAGCCGAAACGTTGTAATTTAACTAAATTTTTTAAATAAATTATTGCCAGTCTGGTCGACTTAAAATTGGAGGAGAGATTTTCATAGTTTAGAAGAGTTTGATATAAAATATGATTCTTTTAATTTCCATAAATTCTCTCAATTGATTAGTATTTTAATGTTTCACGAACTGGAAAGAATATTTCAAGTTTTATTTTATATATACAAAAAAGAGTAAAAATCATATAAATATATAAAAATATTTAAAAATTAATTTAGTATTTTTGAAACTTTAACTTTGTTAAATTATAAATATGCTAAAACATTATAAAACGTTTCTGAATTTTATAGATAGAAATTGACTCTTTCGAAGATTTCCTGAAATGAGAAAATTGAAATAAACAATATTATGAATTATGCTTTGCAAGCATAATTGTGTATAAATATGTTAAAATCTTAGAAAAATGACAATTTGTAAAAAACAAAAACTATAAAATAATTTAATATAAAAATGATATAATTCTTTTAATTTTTATAAACTTTTTTAATTTAATATTTTACGAACTGGAATGAACATTTTAATTTTGATTTTATATACGCAAAAAGAAAATCATATAAATATTTAAAATAAATATGCCAATAAATTTTCTTATTATATTAAGGAAGATCTGGGATATAAAACAGAGCTGAAGTAACAATTTTTCTTTAAAATATATACCTAAAATTATGCAAAATAAAAATACTGTCATATGAATAAATTTAAATATAATTCTCACATATTCTTTTATATGCTTCATACTCTTTTTTCATTAAAACTAGATATTTTTCACAATATTCTACCCCTTTTGTCTCATATATAAATAAAGAGATTTATGAACTATAATTTTTAAAATTTTTGAAAATTTATCTTTGTCAAAATATTTTCTAAATAAAAGCGTCGAGATCTTCCGCACGTTTTTGAATTACCTTACGATTCAGAATTCAGATTATTTCTTTACTAACAATAAATGCAAGAATAAGTGAAGTAGGAAAAAACGAGCAAAAATATTTTAACATATGACCAGGGTGTATACTCAAATCTTATAAATAAATTTCTTGAGGATTTCATGATTTTCCAGGTACTTTTGTTCAAATTCCAGGTAAAATTAAAGTATTGAAAAAAATGTTAAATACAATTTTAAAGTTTATTTTGTTATACATAATTTTTTAACATAAATAAAATATTTTTTAATATAATAATATATTATAAAATATAATATATATATTATTATAAATATAATAGCCATATAATATAAATATATAATATATAATATATTATTTAAAATATAATAATATATATTATCTTTTATAATAAAATATATTTTAATATACTTTATATATAAATTTTAAAAATATATTTTTTAAATTCCATGAGTATTCCAGAATTTTTCAAGATAGAAAAAAATTTCCTAAGAATTCCAGGTTTTTTTCCGAAGTATACATCCTGATGACGCAATAATCAAAAAAGAGATACGGAAAGAAAAAACACGAGGACACGTGCACAATGATCGGCTACCGTTTTCTCTCATGTTCTTCCCCCGTCTATCTTCCTCTGGAAATACAAACGACAAACGTGTGTATATAATTACCCCGATATACTAATTCTTTCGACAAATAACTCGAAGCAGCAGCAGCGTCCTCTCACACTTGTCATTGTAATTCGTCACGAGAATGTCGCGCGTGCGCGCGAGTATCCTTTTCTGTATTACGCATGAAAAAAAAAAAAAAAAAAGATTGGACCATCCCGACGATGTGTCTTTAGAATAGGCTGCCGAGGTGCCAAATGTAACACCACCCTGCC